TTTTTCCTGCCATTCAAATATCAAACGTCTCTTGGGTAAGCCATGTACTTCATTGGGTAAGTGCTGAGCATACCAGGGCTCAAAATTTCCAATCTTCCCTAGATACTCTACCACAATTTATAGTCTTTACTCTGGGTGCAGGGGTCCAATGGAAGCTGATAGTACCCTGGGAATAAAGGTACACAACTCCAAATACCCCAGGGTTCATTTTAAGGATCTTTTCTCCTTATGAGTCAAAGTTTTATCTAATTGGGATTTTTGACTAGATGTGTATCTTTTTGGAGTTCCGGAGCATGAGTATGCAGGGTACAAGGACCCCTATCCCCTAGAACCGAATTTCCATTTTATAGACCCTTCAGCCTTATGACACAGGAAACGTTCTCACGAAGAATTTTTACAAGATGAATCAATTGTTAAGCACCTCTACAAGTATAATCCATGTGCATCTTCCCCTCCCACAGCAGCTCAAGTTTACATTTTCCATTCTTTAACCCAGTTGAAGTCCTTCTGCTTTCTGGATGACCGTAAATGACTTTTGAAGAGTTGTTTCTGTGTTTTAGAAGCCGTTCCAGGGAAAGGGATTCATTGTAGTTCCCCCATTAAGACAAAGGGATTAATGATAAACTGTTTCATTTTCTTGAGTAGCTCTCCTTAAGTAACGTATGTACAGCTTTCAATTTGTTTGCTTTTTTCAAGCTCCAAAGCCAATTTCCAAACTTAGTTGTGGGTATCTGTGTCTCGGAGGACAGAAGAGTAAACTTGGGAATCAAGCTACAACCACCTCTTCTCTTTGAGCTCCCAAGGTGGATTTATCTTGACCTTATGTCAATTGTGATCCGGGGTGGGTTCTCAAAGGCATCTTGTGGGAGCTCTTATGGTCTAGGACAAAGCCCTCATCGTGCCCACCTGCACTCTCAGGCTATTTAAAACGTTTCCAAATCAAGCTCTGAAATGCGGCAGGAAGTCAGGATGGCCGAGCGGTCCAAGGTGCTGCGTTAAGGTCACAGTCTCCAATGGAGGCGTGGGTTCGAATCCCACTTCTGACATGTCTATTCTGCTTACTTGGACTTCTCTTCTACCACAAGGTTGCTGTTTGTGTGTTAGAAAGTGGTTGTCCATTAAAGGATGGATTCCAATCCTGTTAGTAATGTGGTGAAGCACTGTAAAACATATTAATGCACTCCAGTTCAAGCCGTACCGATAGGACCCAATTAGACAGATGGTTAGATATTAAACTTTTCCTGCCATTCAAATATCAAACGTCTCTTGGGTAAG